AATATTAGTAGCTACTATAGTTATAGCAACGCTGCTAATAGGTACCTCTAAAGAAACACCTATTAACATTACTACTAATAATATACCTAGTTCTTTAGTACAAAGCACTACTATAGTAAGTGCTAACAAGAGAAGCTATTCTGTAGGCACTGCGCCTAGGCAGAAATTAATAAGCAAGTCTAAAGCACTAGAATCTTCTAGGCTACAACGATTAGCAGCGCTAATATAAGACCTTAGCCTTTGCTAACTTTTTGCTAAAAGCCTTAGACCTAAGAACTCTAAGTATACTAACTCTTTCTTAACAGAATATGTAGACACTAAAATAAGTACTAATTTAAACTTATGTTAAGACAGCCTTTAAATAATAATAGCGATTACCTATAGAACTATAATAGCTAGCTTTAAATCTGCTAGTCTAACGTAGCTAGAAGCTTACTCTACTATATTTCTACTCTTTAACTTGCTTAGAACGCTAAAATTAATATTATTTGTATTTAAGAACCTTTTACTATAACTAGTACCTAGACTTCTACCTACCTAGGCTACTATATACTCTCTCTAGTAATTAGCTAGAATAACTCTAAGACCTAGAAACGTAACTACCTATAGGTTCTAACCTATATCTAAAAAGTCTCTAGCCTTAAAGCTAATATTATTTAGCTCTATCTTAGCAGAGACCTCTTATAGGTTAAGGTTAACAGGTACTCTATTCTAAATTTCTACTAACAACCTCTAGATAACTTAATATTACACTACTTAGTCTCTTTAACTCTCTCTTCTAATTGTCTTATTAGAGAGAACCTAAACGCCTATTATAAACTCTTTAAGCTAGAGTCTATTACTGCGTATAGTAGATTAGAGGTTGCCTACTAGGCTAGTTAGAACAACCTTTCTTTTATTAGAGAACCTAGAGAGCTTACTTATCGCGCTAGGTACGTTATTAACGTTTTCTTTTTAAACATTCTCTTTACTAGAACTTTAGTGTAGGCTGCTCTGTATTTAGAATCTAACTATAATACCTTAGTAACTATTCTACCTAGCTGCGGCTAACAGGTATTAGAATAGTATTACTATTGCGTCTCTAACTGTAACTTACTCTAGTTTACTAGGCTAGTTAAACTAAATCTTATTAGCCTTAGGCCTATTAGCCGCGACCTAATAGTATAACAAATTAAGAATAGTATAGTAGACATTACTAAAGCTATAAATAACGCTATTAAAGTTGCTAGCAAGCTAGCCTGTAAATTAGGCTACTTAGCGCTCTAGTAGATAGATAAGTGCTAAGCCTTATATAGAGCCTATATTAGAAACAAAGCCTCTAATAGCGAGCTACTCTCTAACGCTACTAGAGCATTTCTTACTAGAGTTAGAAAGGCTAAGAGAAGGTACTAGCAACACTGTATTAATTTCTGTGCCTCTAACTAGAACCTTTATAGGCTAGTTAGATAGTATAAGATAATATATAACTAAATAGACACTCTACTAATTATTAATAGCTAAACTTTTACTATACCTTTAGAGAAGGCTAAGACTCTACAGAAGGCTATACTAGACTACTTCTTAGTAGAAGATAACCTCTCTAAGCCTCTGCCTTTTATAGATAAGTTGCCTAATAAGTATTTACTCTAGAACACTTATATTTTAATAGAAGAAGTTAAAAAGAGTATAATTAGCGTCTCTAGCACCTTCTCTAGGTCTAACAGAATTACTATTTAATTACTTAAAGCATGCTAGTTGCATGTTAAGCACTTTATGCACGCTATTTACTAAGAATATTTTACTAAGGCCTATTATAGAGATATATAGAGCAACGTAGAGGTAGCTATAATTCTAAAGATTAGAAAGAAAGATAAGTTCTCTCTCTACTTAATAAAACCTATTACTCTTACGTTATATATAGGTAAGAGTCTTAACTAAATTATCGCAAGATAGATAGCCTGTATTGCTATAGTATATAATATTCTTAGCCTATAGCACAAAGGTGCGCTACCTAAGCGCTTAGCTATAGATCTAGTTACCTCTTTTATCTATAACGTAGAGACAGCCTAGTCTAGACATAAGTACGTATCTATAGCTACTATAGACGTTTAAGAGGCATTTAATACGCTACTTAAGAATTAGTTTCTTTAATAACTTAAAGAGTAAAGCTAGCTTTTAATTCTTAGAAAGCTTATTTAAAAGTTTTTATCTAACAGAACTATCTGCGTAAGGCTAGAAAACGCTACTACTCTAGCCTACTCTATACGCTGTAGAACACTCTAAGAATTACTACTATTGCTAGTTCTTTACACTCTCTACCTAGCTAAACTTTTAAACTAGAACTAATAATTACGCTTTAGGTATGCTAACAATATCTACATCTACAGAACTGCCTATTCTCTAGACAAGAGTACTACGTTACTAGCCTCTAATTTAAAGTTTATTAACAAATAGAGAGTAGTAAATAAAATTACGTTTGCCTCTAAGAAGACTAAGCTAATTTACCTAATAAGAAAATAGAGCCTGCTTTCTCTTTCTATCTAGCTTAATAACTAAAAAATTTACGCTATTCTCTCTAAGGTAAATAGTAGCTAGGCAGCTTTGCGCTAGCTAGAGGTATAGTTTAATAGAAAGCTAACCTTTAAAACTTATATTGCTAAACAGGTAGTAGTTGCTTAAAAGATCTCTTACTACTTTTAAAGTCTCGCAAATACTGCCTATAGCCTACCTACTACGTCTCTTTACAAAGTAGTTACAACTTACGTTATACTATTATTATTCTATAGAGCTAAAGCTTAGTATAAAGAGAGAATAAAGAACCTATAAATTATTAGAGCCTTCTGTAAGCCTATAGTTAGTACCTACATTAGGTAGTACCTAGCTATAATAGACTACACTATAATAACCGCTACAAGAGCTATACTACTAGCGTAGCGAACTATACTAAACGCTATTATACTAAGAGAGGCTACTATACTATTAGTAGTAGTAGCTCTAGAAGAGATTAAGCTCTAATAATTAGTGCACCTGCTAAGTATAGATAGTTTCTACCTACTAGTAAACAGAATTACGCTACTCTCTATTTAATAGAGTAGAGGCGCTAGAGGTTACTAACGCTCTTAATCTAAAGTCTAACAGATAGCCTAGCTTCTACCTACTATCTCTAGGCTAACCTTAACTAATATCTAACATTTCTTACTAGGCTTATAAGAAGACTCTACTCTTAGCTAGGCTAAAACTAAAGCTGCAGCTACTTTTATAGCATAGTAGAAGGCTCTTAGCCTAATAATAGTAACTATCTTCTTAGATAGCTCTAAGCAATAAATTAAAGGTTAAAGAGCTATAACCTATAGATATGCTATTTACTAAGGCTAGACTAAATTAACAACTAGCTAGAGCTTATTACATCTTCTCTCTTACGTATTTAACGTAGAAGCAATAGAGGCCTATAGAGGTCTTACACACGTAGTCTATCTTACTCTACCTAGCTACTAGAAGATTATACTCTATATTAATAGTACCTCTGTTATTTAGAGTATCTAAGAATAAGCACTAGCATTATTCTAATAGGCGTTCTTGCAGATACACAGTATTATAAATGCTTATAACGTGCAAGTATAGTAGGCACCTAGACACACTAGTATCTCTAGAAACAAACTAGCAGACTAAATAGCAAACAACAAGGCTAAAGACCTGTATCTACTAGTTAGTTAAGCAAATAACTCTACGTATTTAGGCATTAGATTAATTAGCTAGAGCCTACTAAAACACGCCTACTAAAACTAGTAGAATACTAAGAGAGGCAAACTGTCTGCTTAGTACTTGTAATAGCAACTGTCTTACGCTACTAGATAGCTACTAACTATACTAACTTTGCTCTAGCGCGTGCTAGCTAAGGCTCTAATAATCTACTCTAAATATAAGAACTTTGCCTAGTATTACTAAAGATTTAACTACAAAGATGCAACTCTAAAGTATATATATAGTAGAGCTAAGACCTCTAAACATATTATCTTCTATAGAAGAACCTAGTTAAAGTTTTAATACTAGCCTCTACACTCTAACGCCTCCTCTAGTATATAGAAAGAAAGGCTTAAGTATCTTAAAGATTTAATAGGCTAGCCTAATAAATTTGTATTCTTTATTAAGGTAATAAACTACTACAGCAGCGCAATTGCACTGTAAATTTATTTAAATTTACTAAGACCTACTAAATTCCTTAGCATTTTTTAGTAGAGTACTAGCAGCTTAAAAGCTGCTATTATCTACCTTTATTTACTATTTCCTTACTGTTTTACATTTACGTTTGCTATTTTCTATTTATTCTTATCTAATACAGTAGTAAGCTGCTTTAACACTACTAAAAAGTAGTATTGCCGCTAAACACAATAGGCATAAAAGGCACCTAGAGGCCTTTCTTGTCCCTTTAACATGTATATAATTTACCCTAGAACAGGCCTACAAGGTAGTGTGCAACTACTATAACTCCTTAGCAGTGCCCGCTAGAATGCCCCCTAGGAGGTTACATATAGGCGTAAAACCAATATCAATCAATCAATCAAGCCACCCCTGCTACCGTAGGTACGAGCGCCTTGTAGGCGAGAGTGGGAATATGCGCTGCGGTGTCTTGACGGGAACGCCCTTGGAAGCCAATGTGTGATCAAAGGCCTGAGCAACGGCAGGCAGGCACAAATAATGCCGACGTTGGTCTCGACGGAGCTCCAGGTCGCTGCAGGCGGGTTGTCGTAACTAGGATCAGCCGAGTTCGAGATCGCGACGAGAGATTGTAGACGGAGAATGGAGACTAGGCAGACACTGCAGGATAGCGCGTTAGTGTGACTTCTTTGTAACAGTTGCTGGTAGGGGTATGCCCGCTGAGTAACTCATCACGAGAAGAGCCGGTGGTACAGTGATGCACCGTGCGATAATCGAGTGAGCTTCGTGTTACACCTTGTAACAGACATCAGGCGCTGACGGAACGGCCCGAATAGACAGAACAAGGTAGCACCAGGGAGGAATACTCACAATCCGCCAACTGCGAAGATGGAGATGAGTCCAATCTTCTGCCTCTTGCCGAGGTTTAACTTCTGGATGACCGGAATAGGAAGAAGGATGATTGCGAAATCGGTAAGGATGTTGATGGCGGCGTTCGTGAACCAGACGGCGAATTGGTTAAGACAAGTAGACTTCTCGTGAGTCCAGAAGGCTCGTACGGGTGTACAGGTGAAGATACTGGAGAAGACTGTCCAGATGGTGTAGGCGACGACAACGGCCATCGTGAGCCAGTTCGCGATTTGAAACTTCTTGGTCGGGAAGATGCGTCGATATTGGAGGAGCATTGATCCTTTGGTCAACCCGAGCGACAGGTAGTATACGATGAGACTGGACCAGAATGTCTATCGCTTCATGTTAGCAGTGCCCTGAAGTACACGTTGAGAGTGTCGTACCCTCAAGAACTTGACCATATGATCGTCTGGGATTGTTTTGATGTGTCTGCCCATACCATATTCGGCCTCTGTATTTTGTCAGTGTCTATAAGATGGCATAGTCAGGCATATACTAACGGATACCAATGGCGATTGTCAGGCCAATGGAGCAGAGCTGGCAGAAGGTTAGCATGAGTATACACAACATGACGTAGTAATTAACTTACCATTGCGAGAGCGATGCCGGCATCTTCGATACCCACGCAGCGAATTATAAAAAAGCGCGTGTACAGTCGAAGGACGACGGTGATGAGAGCCAAACCAGTGAAGACAGAAGAGATCTCGACCGCTTGCCTGCCCCTCGGGTTATCAGATAATGATCCAGCCATGATGTGATAGCGTAGGTCTCAAGACGACCAGATAAGGTGAATCAGGCTGCTTTTGTGGGAAACATAGAGTATTTCACAGCTGCCCAGATCCCTGAACGAGATGGGTGGTATGGGCTTCGTCGGTGGCTTTACCTTTAACCACACTTATGCACGTACCCACCTTCCGTACGCCCACCGAACAGTGACATTCGCCAATTACTCCGCGGGTGCCAGGGTCTGCAGCCCTGTCAGGAAACCTTCGGCATGGCCACGAGTCGAAAACGCGAGAGCAACGAAGTGTGTGAGATCGGTCTCAACACGTCCCGTGCGACGTTCCGGTTTTCCCGGGATCTACAGAACGCAGAGAACCCAGTCCCTGCACAATGGTGAGCTGTTCGGCTGTCACGAAAAGTTGGAGAAGTAGCTCCAACTTCAAGCGGCACGCGTGAGCAAAAGTTGTGTATGGTTCGACCTTGAGCAGTTCGTGTTCATTCGTTTTGTGATGGCGGCTATGGTGTCACCAACCATGTTTGCCGGATGTAGTGTTTCAGCCCGATGCATAGGGCTCCTTCGGCCGCCAGCATCCTGGGAAGTGAGATCGTGATATTACACACGGGCTAAGGAGTCGTGGATGTGATTCCATCTCGAGCGTCGTACCGAACCAGAGCGGTAAAGGATGCAACTGAGGACTCGGGAAGATCAGTCGAAAAAGCGGAGTGTACACACACATGCAGGAACGTGGCACGGCTTGCGTGATGTCGTACAGGAGACGGTAAACTCTCATTCGCGGATTTTGTAAGCGAAGACTAAAAACTTTGTGTGGGCAAAACCATGATCATCCTTCGCGTTTGCAGGCTGCAGCTAGAGACGCACGGGGCGGACCTAGAGACGGACTTGCGCACGCAATGCGCTTTTTCAATCTCTACCTCGCCAAAGTACGAAGCTTTAGAAATTGACGGCACGAACACCATCGCGAGCCGTCTGGAAAGGAGCTTTCATGTGCTGAGCTTGAATTGAATTGGTTGAGGCCCGGGCCGGGACCCTAGTGTCAACCCCATGAAAATGACAGGACGCTACAGTATATCCTACGTCGCAGTCAGCGAGACGGCTCTGCCACTTGACATGCTTGGTTCCTACTCCGTTGACCTATGATAGTCTCACAGCTGCGTTGCTAGAAAGCGAGCAGAAGCAGTATGGCCCTGAAAATCTGCAGATCAGTCATCAGCAGCGCATGCAGCTGCTCAAGACCGTTAGAAGTCGCCGAGGCATGTCGAATACAGGTGGAGACATCAGAAATTGGACAAGATCAACTTCCACTAAAACTTTTGGTGAGCAGAATAACTGTGGCTCCAGGAGATGTGCGGGTAGCTTTTAGACCGGATCTTTAGCTGTACGCGAGCCGCGATGACCCGGCGGCGGCCTTTTCTCGCTGAGACCTGCTGTGGAGATTATCAACGGGTCGTAGCTGACTATGCGCGCGGGATGAGCTCTCTTTCTGTCTGTGGCTTCCTCACATAGATGAAGCTCCATATAGGCTGTACAGCGGTGCCGTTGACACATTGTTGTTTCTGAGATTCTCCTTGCTTTTCTTTCCCCGCGGAACCAGGGTTGAGTCGGTCCTTCTGCCCGGTAAAGATCTGAGCCTGAGGATGCGTCCGACAGTGAGGGCCTTAGCCTGGGCGCGCGCTGTGACATGAGGATCGTCGACAACGTAGCGTTACAAAAGGGCATGGTGTCGTGGGAACAGAGCGGACCCCTTCTCCACAAGTCACGATTCGAAGGCGTCCCCAGCGGCTGGGCACCACGCGACGCCAAGGCGCTAGTGCGATTCGGCATCGGCCGGGTGTCCGACAACTCTCAACTTGTCAATCTTCATGTCAATCACCTTCAAAGAGGACTCGTGCGCAGCCCTACACACCGTTCAGGCGAGCGACATCATAGTGTTATCAAACCGCCAATCATATGTGGGTGCATGCAGCCCACGCGAGAAGAGCTGCACATATGCCGAGTCGACAGTGGCCCGCGCGTAAGCACCAGGTTGTCTGCTCGCCCATTGGAGCTTCCCCTTTCCTACCAGACATCTTCGATGGCGGTTGAAACTGTTTGCATATCGCTAAGACTCCGATACCCGCTACGTTTCTGTCCACGTAACAGGAAGATGCCGTTTTGCAGCTGATACCCAACGCTCCAGCTTGGCGCTTACTGTGACGCATTCGTCCAACTTACGTACAACGACGTGCAACGGTTTTTGCTTCTGTCACAACGAAGGGGTGCCATTATGTCAGTACGTTGCGTGGACCCTCTTTTTGCGCTTGCTTCCGCGCTTGTTGTGGAGGGCGTTCTTTGGCAGCCCGGCTACGTTGTCCGCTGCCGCAGTTCCAGAAAAGCGAGGCGACGCCGCACCCGCGGACCCTTCGTTGGCTCACAGTGGCGCAATGCTGTACGCCGCTGATTCTAAGTTCATTGGATGTTTGCTTTTCAGGGCGATGTCCTGTTAGCCTCCGAGGACCGAAAGCTACCGAGTACCATTGAACACGTACCGTGCTTCATGTTCTCGCTCGGCGCTATTGTGACTCCAACGAGACCAGCTCAACGGAGCAAATTTCGGAGTCTCATCACCCGATCCCAAGAGAGGAATTGGGAACTGTCAAAACGGGTCAGCATCGTGGAGTCGACCCAAATCGTAGGGCTTGGGTCAGCCTGTTCGGTAGATCAACGGTCGATCTATCGAAAAACCTAACCTTTACCGTGGTGTCTTTACGGTACCCATGATAACTACTCCAGGAGTCCAGGAAATTCCCGCACATTGTCGTCAGGCTCATTTCCTCTATTCCCCAACGGCTACTTGCTTACGACGACACCCCTCTTAACGCAGCACTGCCACTTCCCGCATGTAAGCAGTGTCCAGGTACCGCCGCATCTCCAGGTAGCCCCTCTTCACAGACGCGTTGCGTACCTATGCTTGAAGACGGATTACCATCGTTGGCCAGGGTAGCCCTGTAAGTAACATTGAAACTGTACCACTGAAGCCTGAGTATCACCAGCCGGGACGGATCAGAGCCATGTGCCGGAGGATGGGATTAATGCGCATAGTGAACATAGTGAACAATAGCCGCGAGATTTCGCCGTTGGAGATGATTGTGGGATGGAAGTATGTTACCGACAGTCTAATGATTGTAGTAATGAGCTAACAATGCTAGATCCAGATAGCACAAAGATGGTCCATCCTTGCCTTCGAAGACACTACTACCCGGCGGCAACGTCACAATGCGACATAAGCTCTCGACTTCCAGTTTCTACAGCCAAACCCCAGCTTTCCAGTTATGCGATGAACGGCATTCACATGGTCGTACCGTGTCTCCACATCCATACCCATGTCCTCTGGGATCGCTTCGACGAGTATCACGGCAGAACTCACGAGTACATTGTGGTGCAAAGCCTTCGACTGATCCGAGACATCAGCAAAGGGGTCTCTTACTTTCAGTCGTGCAAGCTTGCAGTCCTGCGCCTCCCCAGATGAGGTGGGGCCTTGCGGCCATGCGGTGTCTTCGATACCCGATACGAGCGCTAGGGTCACGCAGAGACAGAGACGATACCGGGCGCCCTCAGATACTGCGGTCATTTGCTTCGGGTCAACGCTGTTCCCGGGCGTACACACTCGATCTGCAAATCGAGAAGCTCCAGCTTCGATCGCATGAGTTCGCACGGCCAGGTCTCAGGCTTGAATTTGTCCCAGACTTCATTCAAAAAGAGACGTCTCGCGAGCTCTTCGTGGAAGACAGCGGGTTGTTTATCGCTAAGGCAGGGACTTGAAAGACTTTAAGATGGCTATCCTCGATTCTTTTGATAGTCGCTGGCGTGTCTAGGCGGTTCACTGTGTGAAGGTCACCTTGGCTATGGTTAGCTTCGTCATCTCGAATCGAGCGATGTATTTGGAAACTTCCAGTAATTGGAACGTTGTCAATTCGTACTTGCTGTAGATTGTCTAGCTTGCATCAAGTACAGATATCCACTTCTCTTTCAACTGTGCTTTGGCGGTTTGGGCTGAGCACGAGCAACGTCATTGTGAAGTGCATGGAGTGAACAAAGCCGTACGAATAACTGGAGGCCCTTTGTTGACTATCGTGGCTGTGTTCACAGCCATTGCTCTACGTTGTCGCTTATAGACATTGTGAACGCATATTGATACCTATATTTTGTACACAATGTCTTGGGTGGGGCCATGACCGTTGAGACAATCTTCGCTGAAGAGAAATGCGTGTCTCACTACCAGTGTCTTGTATATGTACCGAACCTTTCCATTTCCATGCGGCTCTAGTAGTCCGCTTTCATGCTAACGTCACTGTTCCGATAGCTTTTTAATGAATGCTCACTGGATGCAAGCACCAAGGGGATAGAAAACAGCTGAGGCCGGTTGCGCATGTGATTCACCAGCTTCCAAGTTCGCCTTCTCGCTCTCTGCTTACGGCCTTTGCTTCGTCTCAAAGAATGTAAAGTCTGACCAAACCCAGGTGTAAAGCGTTCACAGCATCAGCTCAACCATGTTCCATCGACTAGACCATCTGCCACCCCAACGCGGCCTAGATAGCTCCTTCTATAGCTACACGACACTCGATGGCCTACCTCACCGATCCTACGCCCTCTACCTCCTGCGACGATGTGCCTACATCGTCGGACCTATCATGCGTCGGCATGGCTGGACTGTCCCAATGCTGCATGAGCTCTCGCAGTACTCTTCCTGCCATGGCAAGTCCCTGACTCAAAAGCAATACGGCATAGATCGTTATGGGAAAACTACAACCGAGATCATTCCGTTGAACATACAGTTACGTTTACGTGACGATCGCGATCCACGCCGTTTCGTCCACATGAACGACTTGGTAAGGACAATGCTGCATGAGCTTGCGCATTTTGCGCATTCGCGGCATTTCGTGGGGTTTTACAAGTTGAATGCTGCATTGTTAAACGAACTAGTCAAAGACGTCGAGTCTGGGGAGCTGCGTCGGCGTGTAGACTGGCAC